ACGCCAATGAAAATAAGCATAAAAAGGGCAATTGATTTAGAGAACATTTTGCAACCTCGTCCCCAGGGCTTTTCCCTTAAAAAATTTAAGGGAAAAGCCCTGGGGACGAGATTGAACATTTTGGACAGAATTTGTCCTCTCAGAACACTAGAAATGGCGTTTCAGAGCACCAAGATTTCAAAATTTCGGCTGGGGGAGCATGCCCCCAGACCACCCTAGTGGTTGGCCCCTTCAGCGCTCGCCTGATTCGTCGGTGATTAAAAAACAAAAAAACACGATTTTATATACTTAAAAAGTTTGACAGCCTTCCTGTGTTAACATGATACCCTCTAACGAAAAAATAACTAAGTTTAGATAATTAACAAGTTACATAATTAACAAGAAGCTGCTAATCAAAATTTTAATTTTAATTGTTAAAACAATTTTGGGAAGTTAAACATTTATGGGGAATGCCACCGAAAAATTCGGGAGGGTCGACGAAATTTCCGGGAGGACATTAAGTTATTCATATAAGGACTGCCCAAACAGCCTTTGTTAGAGTTGTCACCCCCCGTCAGATATACTACTGTTTACCCAGTTCAGGAAAGAAATACTTCCTCTGCAATAATTACTATAGGCCATATTGATGAATGCCACTATGTATCAACCACTGCCTTACAATCAAGTGCCTCCATTTCAATGTGCAATGAATTAACAAATGATTCTCAGTCATCAATAAATAAGCATTTTATTATGTCTGTATATAACACTGGATAACATTTTTTACAGTGCAAGACAACAATCCATGACCACAAAGATCTATTTCAAAAATGTCTTATGTCTGTTATCATTTCAAATTCACAGTGTTTTCGCAAAAAATAGATAAATGTGATTAATAAATCTCAATGATAAACCTGATGATAACGTACTTGAGAAAATGTGAAATTGTGATAATTCTGTAACAAACTTCTTTGCAAACTTTGTCATTACCATTCAACCCAAAACTGTCAGTGATTTTTGCTTTTTCACTCAAACTTAAAAACAAATGAAAACCTCATACAGATCACACTTATTGACATCACAGTGTTACTAAAAACACTACTATAACACAGACCATTAGCTGTAATAACACTGAACAAACTTACAACAACATCCTCCTTTCTCATGCATTTTGTTGCTTTTCTTCTGCATGAGTTAATTCAGACTAAGTATTAGCCTCCACAGAGGAGGGGGGAGGGGTGCGAGAGGTAAACTATATCTATGCAATCCCGTATCCCACTGGGCCCCGGTAAGTTCCACGTAGTGGTTCTAGTTTACTGTTAATTCGTTGTTAGTGTAAGTAAGTAAGTAAGTAATTTTATTTAACCACATATCGCATATGAGCGATAGCTCGTTTAAATGCAAATGTTATATTCACCACTATTTTAAAGTCAACTCTTCGTCTCTTCCAAGTAAAAGTAATTCATATTCAGTGTTTTGATATTTTGTTCCAGTTAATATTAAAATCACTTTAGAGCTAAACGTGACCCATCTTAAATTTTTGGAATCAGTCCAGTTTTGTCCTTTCAAATCGAGTCTAGAGTCCTTCTCAGCGTAGACTCGAGCAAAACGAGCGAGACACGCAAATGACCACGCGCGTGACTCAATGCGCGAGACGGGGAAAGGCCCGAAAAAAGAGAGGATTACCGCAAAGCCAGAGAGAATGGTCTTTCACTGTCTCGTGATTTTTTGGCGTGAAAACTTACGCTGTGTACACTAAATGACCAGCAGTCCTATAAATATTCTCAGTAAATTTGTCAAATCGCAAAAATCGAGCTATTCTAAATTAAACTGATGTCGATTAAGAATAGAGGGTGGAAGCTGAATAATTGCTGATGCTAAAAACTACAGACCGGTGTCTCTAACATCCCTTACATCTAAAGTCATGGAACATATACACGTACTATCCTACCACATATCAAGACACCTTTCTACCAATCGCATTGTCTCTCAGCATCAGCAAAGTTTTCGGCGGGGTCTGTCATGTGAGACTCAACTCAGATCATCACCGTCATACACAGATGACGTCCATGGTCCAGTCGATGCTGTAATTCTAGACTTTGCAAAAGCTTTCGATTCCGGTCCCCATGAACGGCTTTTACTTAAGGCTGACTACTACAGATATCGTAGAAAGTCCAACATCTGGCTTCAAAGCTTTGTAACTGGGCGTAGCCAACGATTTGTGGTTAATAGTTCTGCTTCTTCGTGGTAGCCTGTAGGTTTCGGGGTGCCTCAGGGAACCTTACTGAGACCCACTCTCTTTTTGATGTTTATGAACGATCTTGCTACCAATATCACACCTAGCATTAAGCTCTTCGCTACGACTGTGTTCTTTACCGTCCGATTAATTCCGATGGCGATCATGTTGCTCTCCACGGCGAGACCTCGATCAACTAGAGAAGTGGGCCTCGACATGGCAGATGAAATTTGTTCCTACAAAATGCTTTGTGCTGTCCATTACTTTGAAGATTTCTTTGTCCCAGTTTAGTTTCCCCCTATGTAATGCACAGCTTGACGGTGCTTGCCACCAAAAGTACTTCGGCGTCTATATGACATGTACGTTAAGTTGGCAATTGCAGTGTGACGAAGCAAAAAGGAAGGCTATGAGAGTCTTAGGGATCCTTCAAAGGAATCTCTCATTGTGCGGTCGATCTGTAAAGGAACGCTCATACCCATCCTTATTTAGTGCGTCCGATTCTGACTCGTCCCCAGTCGTCTCTAAGTTGTCTCTTCTCATTAATTATTTACTAGGGAAGCGCTTGGGTTATGCGCCGTTCTAGTTTTTCAAGCCAAATACTAATAATGAGAGACGACTGGGGACGAGTCAGCGTCCGATTGTTGAATAAGCCACGGTTGCTTGGTCTCCATGGCCACACACAAAGAAAGATATTGACGGTATTGAATCCTTTCAACGCCGTGCAGCACGTTTGTTAACAACGATTACAGCCGCTACCGTAGCGTTTCATCAATGCTTACTGATTTGAACTGGCCTTCTCTGCAGTCAAGGCGCAGGATATGCGATCTCGTATGTTTTATAAAATACATGACATGGAGGTCAAGTCAACATCCCCCTTCCCTATGACCTCATCTCCGTGCCTGCGTATGACAGTACGAGGGCCACTCACGACTTTAAGATCAGACGCCCATCCTATTCAGTTCACGCTTACACTTTTTTTTTATGAAAAATCAATCCCCGTATGAAACGAGTTGTCAGCTGACGTTGTTAGTTCTTAGTCATACCCAGAATTCATCAGAAGAGAGTCTACTAATTTAACATAATAATGTAATTTACATCGTTGTTTTTCATTTGTTCTGGTACCATGTAATTGAGCGAACGCTGGCAGCTCCATTGCCGGATTAGCATTATCTGTAACGCTAGTGGCAATTACATGATTATAGGTTAAAGGTAAACTACGGGTCTTCTCCTTACCGTTTGTTCGTCAAACATTTGGACAGAAAGATTGCTGTAAAAGATTTCTTAGGCGTTATGGCGCTGATGTTTACAACAAATATTAGATCGTATTTTCATCCTTTAATGGCACATATCCAGAGGAAAAATCCATTCTTTGATGGCAGTGCGCCATTTAGCAGTTCGCTTCATGACTCCCTGGATCATGGTCAACATCAAGTGCTTGCTTCCGTGATTTAGAAGTAAACATTACCTACGACCCTAAATTATTTTTTTCCTTGTTAGATTACTTCCTGATTTCGGATCGTTCAGTTTAAAGTTAGTTCGATAACGTTTTTAACAAATAAAAGAAAAATTGCTTATACAGGAGAACGGTGTTGAAAAATCCTCCCACTACGTCATAACTCACTGCAACAGGTGCCAGTGAAATACAGTAGAACCTCGATTTCACGAACATCTATATAACGAGGTCTTCGATATATTCTTTGCTCCAGTAATAAGAAAATCTATGAACAAGTATCTCGATATTACGAAACCTCGTTTTCGCGAAAAAATATGGGTACGCTAAAGAAAGGAAACGCGCGACTTACATTTGAGCATTTCGGTCAAATCGAGAAAGGCGGGAAATCTTGCGAACACAAGATACAAAATGTATTTCTAAAATAAGTAATAAGTGATATAAAATAGCTCTAAATGTGTGGACTGTGAATGCGATTCTTCTTTATAGTAATCACCGTAATTAGAGTGTTTTTGACAAATCCACCGACGAAGAGATTTCGGAGATGTCGTACGATGAATATGCCGTTCGGACGAAACAAGAAAAATTGGGGTAGAAAAGTAGGGCAGAAATTAACAACACCTAACAAATAATTATATCTTTCCTCAAATATCTTTGAATTCATGATAAATTCAGCTCTACCGGCTTCAAACAGCGTCCACCGGCAGAATTTCACGGAAATAATACTTTAATTATCATATTTTTTCCGCGCAGCTTGGCGCATTAAGAGTGGTCTGGGAGCCGATCTTCTTCAGATGGGTCCAGGTTCTACTCTCGGCTAAGCTGGGTTATTTTTCTTGTCTTTTTGCGACAAACGTATTTGTGGTGATGTTTATATAAAATTGGCTCATTTTTCCACCCTGTATGCATTGCCTATCGAGATATGAAGCACTTGGAAAGTTTAGAAAGCCTGAAAGTCGCAAAACCATGGCCCAACTCCTGAAATTATTTCACACGAGAGCCGTGCAAATTCGCGGGTTTCCGCGCGAGTTTGTGACGTTGAGGGTGGCGCCGATTGTTCTATTCTCCGCTATATGGACACCTCAACTCGAAGCAGGAACAGACTACTGACATTGTACTAACCTACAAAATACTCAAAATGCAGAAAAGCAGTAAAACGATCTTTTCAGATATTTTTGTAGTGGTGGTTTTTCCTTCCCTACAAGGGTGTCATTTTTTGGGTTTTGGGCCTCAGTTTTCTATTTCTTCCCCCAATTTCCTGTAGTGAGAACCTTTACGTACAGAACATCAAATAAGAAAACGCCCATTTCAATTCTATGAGTACTATTGGCATCAGCTTATACTTTAACAGCTCTTTTTAATCATTCCACCTCATAGCCAACCGTACGAATCACGATTTTTTTTCCTTTTAAGTCTCGTCCTTATGTTACAAAACATGTATTATTTACAGCCTAAAAACGGTACAAAATAAAGATATATATACATAAAGTGATTTAACACTTGGTTTAAAAATCTCTAACATTTAAAATGTTTGAGAAAAGATATTGAGATTATTCGGCTCTAATTTTCACGACGACCGCCTTCTGTGAAACACCGCAGTTGTCATTTTTCATTGCAATCTTTATGTATCCTTCATCACCCCAAGCTTTAGACCAGGAATTCTTGATTAGCCAGTAAGGTTGACCTTTCTCCACTCCATACCCAACAGCGAGTGCAGCGTGATCAAGTGCATGAGCTTGGGCAAAAATGGAAAAAAAATAATTAACATTATTATGCGCGATCGTCTGACACCGTGATTTGCAATCTAACCACTATTGAGAACAATCTTGCTCACTAATGAGAAACATTTTTTGAACGAAAACGATGCCCCCCACACAACCCTTAGCTCAAGGTCTGGAAGGATGAGAGGGAGGATGAGAGGTCTGTCCTAAAAAAAACCTCATGAAAGAAATCCTGAAAATCTCTAGTCCACAGAACACTTAATACAGAAAACTTACTACATGACTGGTCGTAATAGATCCCGGATCCATAGAATTTAAAAGATTTGGGTTGAGTGTTGATGAGGATGCTGACAGGTCCATAAAAGGCGATGGCTTGCTTCAGCTGATTGATGTTTCCTTTAGCAATGTTCATATAGAAGTCGAGTTTAGCACCAGTTGTGGTGTTCTTGAAGTGACAAAGCCCCTCCTGTTATCAGTGAAAGGAAAAGAATTGTTTGCAGCCTGAGAAAACAGTAGACATTTCGTGACGCCACCACTTGTTTTCCCGCCAAATGGCGTCTAAGAAACGAGCGCAGAAATTCATACTGATGACGCAGACCATTTACGGTGAGCGTGGCGAGCTGCGAGAGAACGCGCTAACCCTCGCACTCGCGTCTCCTTTCGCGTGCGGCTTTCGCGTGACTTCTCGCGGCTCCCCAAATGGAGAACTTGCTCGCAGGCTATCATCAGTATGAAATTTTTGCGCTCGTACCTTAGGCGTCATTTCGAGGGGAAACCAGTTGTAGTGTCGCGAAATGAGTGATATTCTTATGATTCACAACGACTTTGAAGCCAGTTAAAATAAATGCAAATTGTCAAGCTTGCTTCTTCTTCTCAAACCACAAGACCCGGATGCTTGGGAAGGCATTATTGAAAGAAATAATTTTTACTTTATTGAAAGGAACGTATTATCTGACGTATATTTTCTTGTGGTCAAGGCCCATTTGCTAAAAGTCGACCATCCGAGGTTAATAGGTATAGAGGGCAACCACAACAAAATATGATAATTTTTATCAGCTGTTATGAGGGAAAACTTTCTTTCGAAATGGGCGCCCTTCATAGAACTATTTAATGGTAGTAATAGCTATAATTGTAGTATTAAACGTTACTGTTCTTGTTCAGAGTTTATCCGTAAGGATTTGCAATTTACAAAGGAATTTATGGTGCCAACTATTCTAGCAACTTGCTTGCACAAGATGTTGAATCAGTGACTCTCAACTACTGTATGTTCCCTTGCTTCCACAAAAGTGTTAATAAAGGAAATAAAATAATGTCAGACATACCAGTTTTGCATAGAGGGCCCTTATTTCAGGCACATTTACAAGCAGCTCAGATATTTCCCCCTTGTGCTGTTCTGGGTCAAATGTTTTGCACCACTCCTCATACATTCCAAAATGACCTAATGCCATAGAATAAAGCTTAATCAGCAAATCTTGCAATTTATTTCTGATTAAATGCATGAAATAAGGCAAGTGTGAATGCCGCAATATGCCCAAAGATCAGTACTGCTACAATACGTTTATACACCTGTAGATGATCAAAACAGTAAAGTACAAAATAGTATATAAAGAAAAAAAGCTGCTTATCACAAGATTACTATTATTAAATTGTATAAAGGAATCAGATTTCACTTCATACCATCTGGCTCTGAGCAAAATGTGGATGGATCTGTCTGAATTTCATGAAGTCGTGCCTTTGAAAAAATTTTCATGAAATGATTACGCACTGCAATTACAGTAAAGGCTTTTGAAGATTTTCCCCACTTTCTATTATAAATTAAAAAACAGAATGCATAAACTGTAACTGTGCATTCATGTGAAATTCAAAGGTACTAATAATATCGCAACTGGTTTAAAGGTTATTTACTGGAAGACCCATGAGAGACCAAGGGGATCTTTAGCGCCTGGGAGTCAGGGATATAAGTGTTTAACCAAGTAAAGTCTCAGCAGTTTCCAGGTCCAGCACTCTAGACAGAATATCATAGCAACTGTAGCAATTACCATATATGGAAAGCAGTCATAACACAGTACAGAAGACTGTCTTTCACAATGACAATTGTTACATTATTATCACTGATCACTGCACTCATCAAAAAAATGTTTCTGCAGATAATCAACAAACTATAATCATTGATGAAAAGCCACTGTATGACAACTGAATCATTGGATAGCTGCATGCTCCCACATAGCATGCTCTTTTGGCCATAGCTGTTCCCAGGGAAATTCTCTATGCATTTGAATATTTATATCCCCTCTTCCAGCAAGTCTACTCAGCTTAAGGTTCAAGTAAATTTTCCTATCCCTTATGCGGAATATTTTCACCGATAACTTATCTTATCATTAAGCATAGGTTAGCTTGTATATGAATGTAAACTATTCACTATCTTTAACTAAAAGATCTTGCATGCAGCAATTCAAGTGATGGACAATAGCTATGACAGTCTGTACCAGGGAAAGACAAATACCAAATAAAGAACTTTAAAAAACATAAAAATTGGAATTGAAGGACCCCAGATTCAACAAATACCCGCATTCTGTCAAAGACTGGTTCAGGACCATCGGAAGTGACTGCAGCAGCGGCAGTTACATGAGAAATGTTCTCCCTCAAGCTATTGGACAAGGTCCCAAGAAATTTGGACACACCTATAAGGCCAGGATAGATTATTCAGCCATAGTAATAAAACAGTTATGTGAAACTGTCCTCAACATACAAAAATCTGGGCCAAGCAACAAAGTCACATGATACAATCACATGATATCTTGGCATAACATGTAACACAGCTCTAAATGACTGTCTGTAACATTGTTTATGTAGCTGTTGTTGTTTTGCTTTGAATTTTGGTTTGTTTTTTCTGGTCATATTCTGTACCTTGTTTAACACGAGCTGATGTCCCTTCTGATTCCTCCTCTTCTACCTAACAAAGATAATTCAACAACATTCATGAAGGACATACAACAACCATATTCAGATGTAGCCCTCAAAAACTTTTTCAACTAGTGACACGGGCATTCGAAATAATAATTTCATTTGGTTGAATTATATTATTTTGTGATCTTTTTGCCAAATTGAAGTAACCAGGATCAGTACAGGAAAGAATCCTTCCTATTTCTAATGATTTCTCAGGATCTGGGAAAATTTTCGCGGGTCTGAAAACTGTAAAAGTGACAACTCCAGATTCCAAGACCAAAAAGAGAAAAATCTATCTAAAAAATGGCAAAATAAAAGGCCAAAATAGAAAATCACAAAGCACCCCCAGCCTTCCTCCTCCTTAAATTCATATTCCACTTACTCCTTGGTTCATTGTTTTTGGGTGATTTTGGGGAATAAAGGGTTCAATACTTTTACAGTTTGTATACATTACCTTCAGACTTTCTTTAACAGCTGTAGCCGTATCAGCCACTACGGCAGATGTATCATGTTGAATGGTGGAAACAAACTCTGACAAGTCGTGCTTCACCATGTTCAAAGCTTCAGCAGACTTATTAAAAAAGAACAACAGACTTATAACTATTATGCATTATTCGGACAAAATGTCTCACAATTTTTTTTAAGGGTAACCTTTGCAAAAAATTGCTCTGAACTGTTCGTTTAAGCGTTGTTTAGTTTATGAACAAGTTTAAAATCTATGAAGTCATGCAAAAAGCCATGTATAGATTCCCACCAGCCACATGACCATTCTTCAATTTTTTTTTCCTCGTTTAAATAAGTTAGCTAAATTATATTAAGCTTAAGTCGAACCTTCCAACTAGGTATAAACAGATGATTACAATCCCTAGCCATGTTGTTTCACTTTATCTTTAAGAAAATCACAGGAGTAAGCTTTGTGCCACTACGTTACTGTTTTCACTTCATGCAATGTCAAAAACTCACAGCCCAGCGGAAGAGGAAGATTTATAAAAAACATCATCAAAGCTACTCAGCAGCATACCGACCTTATCGCGAACACTTGAAAGGAGTTCCGAACCCCACGAGCCCCACCAACCAGCACCTCCGCTATGAAAAGAAATAAGATCCAGCATTTTAAAAAAGTGTACAATAAAAGTAAAGACATTTTCCCTCTGAGCTTTAGCTGAAGGACTTGCGGAAGGAAAGTCATATCACCTACCTTTCTTCAGCCATGTTTATCAAATTTGTAGCCAACGTCATAAGCGTGGTTACTAAGCCTTGAGTTTAGTAATCATGTAAGAGACCTAAAATAAACCTTTCGGCAACCTAAGGCGGGTAGGAGAGAACCCTGGGAACGAGGTTGATCTTTCGGGAGAAAACGTCTATATCAGGAAAATAATCGAGGGGAGAAGTCGACAACAAACCGAAAACGTCACTTAAAAAGTGAGTTCGCACACCTTCAAAGTTCATCGATCTTATTCAATTTCATTTAATTTGGCAAATGTTGGCGAAATTTTCTCGGGTTGAATCCTACAGAACCGTATCTAAGTTTAGAAGAGGAAAAAGACAACTTTTGTGTTGTGTTCACCTACTCCATAAAGTGAGCGTGTGAAATTAGGAAGTTTCACGTCGCAGGGGTGCAACGACGACAAAGAAATGTACAAAATAGCGTGATGCACGTGCAAAGTTGTTCTTTTGTCAACAAAAACCTTTTACTTTTTTGCCGTTCTCCTTCCGTCGCCGTCGTCGTTGGTTTTGTTGTCGTCCAGAAATAGTGCTACCATGGTGACCCAGTTACGTCACACTTCTCTCTATAGCCTGCAAAAACATCCGTTTCTCCTCGCTCTTCGCCCGCTGGGGAAGTTTCGCGCGGGGGAAACGCGTTCCTCCGCGCGAAACGTCCCCAGCGGCGAAGAGGGAGGAGAAACGGATGTTTTCGCAGGCTAGGAAAATATAACCGCACCGAACAGACCCGTTGGTAAAGTGACAGCATTAATCCATGATGAAACGCAATCAGGAACCTGACGCATATACAATCTTATTTTGAAAATGACTGTCCACATCGCAATTCATATGTACCGCCTTGAATAATAGCCGTCCCTCGATTAATCGCCTCCCTGGAATAATCGCCCCACCCGCTTTCCCCCCCCCCCCCCTTCCATACCCCTCTCGCCACCTCAAGTTCTCAAGTTTATCTCAAGTTCATCTCAAGTTTATGCCCTCCCTGTCGAGTTGAAGTGGAATCTGATCCAGCAAAACTAATCAGTGACGATTCAAGCTCTGAAAACTAATCAAGGAACCAAATTTGGAACACTTAAAAACGGGGCCCACGTTCCGTTTATTTGATGAGACAATTTTTTGAATTTAATGGCATAATAAAACAAAATATTTAGGGCTCGACTTCCAGTGAGTAATATTTGAAATAATCGCCTCCCTCGAATTCATGCCCCGAGAAACAATAATGTCTTTAGGAGGATTTTAGGTCTTCATGCAAAAACTGTAGCGTCAGTGCGTCAGTGGGAGGCTAAAAAATTCACCTTTATCACTAGCTGGGAACTCCTTCCCCTTTGTTTTAAACTTAAGACCAGCTTTTGTCCAGAATTTTGTGATATTCGTAATAGCCTGCGCAACAGGCGTTATTGGAGGCGCTTTGGCGGGTTTTAGAGTGCGAGCGCGAAACGCGAAACACGCGGACAGACCGTGAAAAAGATTAGTTCGTTTGATAGAGGTCTGGCGGTGTCCAGCTAGGAGCGGGAAGTGGTAGGTTTTATTCCTACGTAAGTAGGAGATACTCGTGCCTCAGGTTCTTTAAATTACCGAGGGAAAAGGTATTAGAGGGATTAAGCATCACGTTTACGGCAAACGGCAAACGTGATTTTGCACCACGTGACCAAATTTCTCCTTACTTGTCGTTTACTGTTCAATATGACTAGACGAAAAGCGGTAGATTCACGCCAGTTCTATCCATAAGAATTGTTTTTTATCTGCTCATTTCTTATTTTGAGAATTTCTCAACTTGAATCTCACGCTTGCCGTTCGCCGTAACGCGATGCCAGTAATCTCTCTATAACGCTTTGCCCTACAAACGACTGGATCCTCAATTTTTAGTTCTTGCGTGTGATAAAACGAGATTTGATGAGTCAGCGTGACAAAGTTTTTAGGCCTTTTAACAGAGATTGCGGGAAATTTCATCTTAACCATCTTACCATCGACTTAGCAAGTGTACTGATGAGTTGTAACACGAACGACGGACTAAGCTAAAGAACTCAGTAGATGGTAATTTTCGCTGAGGGTAAGGGCATACTTGAAAATTTTGACCACAGAGTGTATACCCACCTGACTTTCATCGAGCCATCTCTGCTGCGCCTCTTCTGACTGAGTGCGCCGGGTGCCGCGAGATAGAGCATGTTTTTAGAAGTGTTAAGTCCTTAAATAAGGGGTCATTCTGTACGGCTAGTTCTTCAAATGATCTTACTGCTGCCATCGTAGGGTCAGCGTTGCAATAAAGCTTTACTGCTGTTTTGATCTTAGTGTTCTTGTATTCATTCTCCACGGACTTGAGACCTCTTCCACCGAGCTTCCTAGACTGACATGTAGAGTATCGCTGTCGATCCCTTGGGGTGATTTCCTCCATTCTCCACGACGATCTTTCTTCCCACTTGGTCAAGCTGTTGGATGTTTGCTATCGGCCAAGTTTGTGTCCACATCAAGTATGTAAGTACTGGTAAAGCGTATTGATTGGACGCCGCTACCTTTGCATGATCTGACAATGGGCTGGTTAATATCAAAATCAAGGAAAAAATCACGTTAATTTATTATTATTATTATTATTATTATTATTATTATTATTATTATTATTATTATTATTATGAGAGTGATAGATTTAGAGATGGGAACTTTTACACCACTGGTGTTTGGTATAAACGGGGGCATGGGACTCGACCGTCAGAACTTTTTAAGAACTCTCGCAAATAAGCTGTCGACTAAGAACAATGAACCCTACGCCAGCGTTATTTCCTGGCTTCGAATACAGCTCTCATTTGCTATATTAAGAACTGTACACAGACGCGTCAGAGGTTTTAGATATCCATTCAAATCCCTTGAGGTCTCAGAAGACCTCACTTTCGCTGTAGCTGGTCTACATCTGCACTCATAATTTTAGGCCTAGATTTTTGATAGTTTTTTTGTT